TGGAAAACTATTGACAAAATTGTAATTATTATAACATGTATTATGGTTATTATATGTATATATAAAAGATGTTTGTAGATGTAAACATAGTATTAATAACTTTAATAATCTGTAAAAATAATAATTATTAACAGTGCAAGCAAAATTTTTAATCACGGATGGATCGCGACAAATCTATCGTACGACTCCTCTGGCACACAGCGTCACGTGGGCAGTCTAGCGCGGAAGTGGGGGCACGGTAGGCGTCTACTCCGAAATCGGTCCGAAAAGTGCAACTAAATCCGAGCACTGCCCTAGAGTAAGACTGAATAGATAGTAGAAAGTAGCAATATCAACAGCGCTATTTATTTTAACTATTTATCTTTTAAAATATCAAATTGTTTGTATGACATGATCGTCTATTTATTGTTTGGTTGGCAGCCTTTAATAGTATCTCAACGATGGTATAATTAGTACGTCGATTGAAATCATGTTATGTAATTGTATTTAAGCAATCTACTGTTATATAAACTGTTAAATAAAGCAGATGACGTTTCCGAGTCACAGACTGATATTCGCTTAAAAATAAAAAAATACATAGTCTTGTTATATTTGCAACCACTGGTACATTTTGCCCTAGCTTTGCGCCATACAGCGCCATTAGTGAATAAAATTAAACACATTGTTGACATTTGTTATTTTAAACAAAGAGCACATTTCACATGCTTTTTACTACATAAAGTTCGTACAAATGGTTGTTATGAGAATTTGAAGGTGCCATAGATAATGTTACTGTATTAAGAAGTAATAGAAGAACTGAGATGATAGAGAGGCATATAAAATAATTGTATCATATTTCGTAAACCTTTTTACAACAACGCATTTTATTTACGAAATTTTCATTGAATGCACAGTGAAATTTGTGTTTCTGTCACCGCCTTCTATTATACTTCAATTTATAGCATTTTTCATAAATTAAGTCTTTTTATCCACGATAAGAACTCGCAAATGTTAATAATTACGTTTATGAGAATTTAAGACAATGGAGTCAGACAAAAAGAAATGAGAGGATGAAAAAGTGAATTAGAATTACGGAGCTTCAAGCATGTATGATCTAATTAAGATCGGTCAAATCGAACTGATTTTAATATTATATAAAATAATTTATTTCAGTTCATCTAACACAAAGATTTAATTAGATAGTCAGTTCTAAGGCAATTTACAACTAACACACTTAATTTTAGAGGTTTCTCAGATAGGCATGCACATTCGTAAACCATACTGAGATTGAATCTGCACATAACAGAGTGCATGCATAGATCAGTAAATGACTGTTCTATTTCATTTGAAGGGTATTGAAGACATTTTCGCATTAGTTATGAGATAACTTGATTTAATAATGATGGGATAGGCAGTTCGCAGAAGAATGCGTACGGCTGATTGCAGGCTAGATCGTCCATTCCGCCTTCCTTTAAAATTGCACCACAATGTTGTATGTTACGCCAATTATCTGGCTGTCCATTCCACTTATCACTCCATGTGCTGAAGCCAGTTTTCGCTAGCGAGTCCCCGAATACTGTAGTCCAATCATTCTCTGCGAATAGATCATGTATACCTAACAAGGCTTCATCGTTAAGTGAGGAACCCTTTATCGGGCCCGTTCGATTAAATATATCCATTAGTACCTGGAAAAAAGAATAAAGGATTAATATAGGTTCGAGTGAAGATAATACTATCGACGTACTTTTCATCATATATCATTCAATTAATAGATGACATTTGAGGAACGCTAATACTGTGTTTTTAATAGTTCAAAGAGCATAAATGTAGATTACTAGTAACACAATGAATCCAAATTTAATAGAACATCAAATAAAACACGACTTTCCCTATCGGATATTACGACTGAAATCGAACTGCAAAGTGAACCTATTACAGAAAACAGACTAAAAATAACTTTATATTTTATGCTTCAACCGTTACTTTGTAACAGCTGATAAACATAAATGTTTTTTATATTAGTTTCTTATTCCTAGACACTTTTCCCTTTTAAAGTAACGATAATTTTGAAAATACAAATTTCTTCATTTAAACGTTTCCGGATGTATCACGTTTAAGGTTACACGAGAATCATAGTGTTATAGGTCATTGCATCGATCTTGACCTCGTGATCATGATAATACAAGAATATAATCCCATTTTAAAAACATTGCTCAATTTAAAACATTGGGAAAAAGATTTTGCGTATCTTAATATTTGTTTTATTTAACATAACATTTGCTACTTAAAAATGTAAAACTTCTAAAGTATACAAATTTGGAAATGTGGAACTCCAACCATTTAAAAGTTTCGAAATATTTAAAATAAATATCAGATTAGAAATTTTCAAACTTGTTATTTTTAAAGTTTAAAAATCTTAAAGCTTGTAATTTTCAAAATTTCTGAATTTCTGAGTGTGTATATTTTGCCAACTGTTTTTTGGTGTTTAAACATGTAAACATTTTTTAAATAACTCCCACTTGAATATGTTTACATTTTAAACTTTGTAGGATCAGTAATTAGAAAAGTTTTGTGTTTTTAAATTTGAAAATTTTTTAATTTCGCAGTTTGAATTATAAAATTAGAAGTTTAAAAAACTTTTAGATGTTAAAGTTTGTTATTTTAAAAATTTGAAAATTTTTGAACCTCAGTAATGTTTATGCAACACAAAAATAAGAGAACCAGAAAATATTTTGATTATCATTAAAGAATCTGGGCATTTAAGCGTTAATAGTAGGTCAGTATCATTTTTTACGCCTTACAGAATATTATCTACGCAAGTACACTGATAGTTTGAGCTTTTAAGAGGTTAATGAAAAACTTCAGTAACGAATTAAAAGAAAGGAACTTCAGGGGAATATCAAGAGCAATATACTATCAAAGATAAAACATAATTATTATTAATTATTATAAGTGATTTAATCTTTACGTTAATTTGAACTCTTCTTTAATCTACTAATATCAAATTTGAAAGTCGATGTTATTTTAAAGTTTTTAGGTGTAGTTATTGTGCATAGTTAATAATTGTCGCATGTAAGAATTTGACGACATACTTTTTCCTGGGAAGGCCAGTTTCATACGTTCTATTTGTGACAAAGCGTAACTAATTTATTTTGTTTATATTTAATTTTCAATTTCAGAAAATTAATACTTGTAGGTCAAAAAAGAAATCAAGTTAATGAAATGGTAAGCTTATTTGTAAGATTCAATGAAGTTTATTCTAATATTTTTGTAAAATTAGTTTTATTTTTCTTAATATGTCTCTATATTTTAGTATTTAATTCAATTGAACGCTTTAATTCCCTATTAATCTTGGTATATGAACTATAAATTGATTGTAAATTTTCAGCTATATTCAAACGAAATATAATTATCACATATTATACTTTACAGTAATAAAGTACTATTTTTAATATATCGTAATATAAAGAGCACGATTATCGTTTGACGTTAACTGTGAATTTTAAAGGCTAATTTAGTATACAGCACCTTTTGGAATGCTAATGGAATGATTGATACATCAAAACCTTTTTTATCTGCTGTTTTACATGATCGTGAAATGTGTGTAAAAATTTTTAGAATATTTTTCGAGTAATACATAAATACATGATAAACAGATAATTTTATAATTCTTTTTTATAAGTCCATTACCAAAAAATACAGGTAAACTTACACGCTCTTCCGCAACAGAATTGATGATTGCCAAATGGCCACCTTCTTCAATACAAATTCTTCGCGCCTCGTTCCAAGTCCGTGCTCTGGTGTGAAGTTTATGCGCGCCGATTCCGAGTGTGTAATAATAATCATCGCGTAAAGGAGTGTCATGAGACTTTGAGTGAGTCAACCCGTACAACTGATCATTCTGATTGGGATAATTCTGTTTGGATAAATTTGGAGCACAATTCCGCTCATTTTGAACCTCGACAGCCTCAAATTTTTCCAATGAACTGTTCGGCATCGACAAAATTTCTTCAAAACCAATTGACAGGATAATGCAGTTAAACAAGAAACTAAACGTTGACATCTTCTTCATTGCGTCTGTCCGTTCGATCGAATCTTCGGACTTGTTACAGCGATTTGAGTGGTACTGTATTTTACTTATAACTGTCGATTATTATAAAGCGGTACTGCTTAGTACAAATGTCCCCACCATCGATCGTCGTTACTATGTGTACAGAAATTTGATTTGTTGCTATAGTACATGTAGCAATTGCAAAGATTGTCTCAATTACTTAATTACTCATACACTAAATTATCGATATAATAAATACATACACAAACAAGTATGAACAACGCTTTTGTAATTAAATATAATTATTAACATTAATTTGAATAAAATTCAAAACAATAAAGAATTTTTATGTGTTATAATATTGTAAATATTTATGAAAAAATGCGCATTATATTTTTGATGATTTTAAAAAAAGCTTTTATTCTAAAATCTTAAGAAATGCTTACCGAACTGTTTCGCGTAAGTCGATTGTGAGAGAAATTATTTAATTTTTAAAGCATTTATTAAAATTATTTATTAGTTGATCACTATGTAAGATTGTTTCATGAAAAATGAAGGACTAAGTTACATTTATTTCTTATGTAAATATGGATAATATGGAGATGAACATGTCAAAATATAAATTTTTACCTAAATTCTTGTAAAAATTTGTACATATATAAAGGAATGTGAGTCCCACTTCAGTATTACGATAAAATTAAAATTTAAGGAATTATATAAAATATTTTGATATGTAGCTTCATTTTAGAGAAAATGAGGAAAAATTTGATGATTCTTCGGAATATACGTAAAATTATTGATTATTATTGCGGGGAAACGATCTAATGAAGTATTTATGTTTCGATGATAACACTTATAAGGGGACTTTACTTTAAGATACCCCTTGACCTTTCTTATTTTCATTGCATATTGTACTGTTCGATCTCCTGTATGATCTGAGTTTTTATACTTCAAATTTGAATACTAGTGACTGGAATTTAAATTTGGCAGAAATGAGCTTTATTATGTGTGGTTTTTCCATATTTTGTTTTTTCGCTAGTTAACTTATTAAAATAGATTTTTAATTTGATATTTTTGCACAATGAAAGTATACTTATTGTTAGCTGATATTGATATTATGAACTGTTTTTGTTTGATGTTTCCTTAAACTATGCAAAAGTACTTACGAACTATCGAAACTAGTTTTTTAATTTATTACTCCTAGGTTTACAAATCAAATGAAAGGAAACCAAAACTTTCATTTAATGAATTAAATGCGGAAACAATATTTTAATGAAATTACTAAAATTATTAATTTAACTATTAATTGCAAGTGAAAATTAGCAACATTATTTCGTTTTTCAGTAGAACTTATTAATAACATACTTTTAAAACCAATCTCGATAAACGTCTTTATTGCCATTGCATATATTTAATATTAATTCTAATAGTCATAATTTTTAACAGAAAAAAACTGTTTACAATAGTGTGATAAGTATTATAAATGACCAATTTTCTTTTGCACCACTCAACCAATTCTCATCAAATTTTGCACGCACATGCGTATGTACATCCAGATGGACATAGAAAAAAAAATTTCAAATTGGACGTACCACGGAGGAATAATTACCGAAAAACCAGATCCCCGTAGACTTCAATGCAAAATTAAATTTGCTCGCGCTTATGTATTTGACTTTTCAACTTTTTTGTCCATAAACCTTAATGCTTTCAACAAAATATCATAACTTGTGTAAGACGAGGTAGAAAATGATTGAAACGCTAATAAGTTCGATTTCAAAAATACTATTATATTTTCTATAAGCCGTTTCCGTGGGCGAAGTAGTGTTCTCGAGAGAAGAATGTTCTCCAAAGGTCTCTAGACGAATGCCCTCTTCCCGTTCCGATTATTAGAAAGAGACAGTGAAATAAAATTGCGAGATGATTGACCCTGCCAGGACATCAGCTGTTAATCCGCTGATCGGTGGATCTACGAGGTGACACAAATATTTTTTATCGAAGCTAGTTTTTTCATGGATCAATGGATAAGTTTTATTTCAGTTGTTTGTGCATTTTTTAAATTAAACGTATTCAGGAATTGATTTATTTCACTTCAGTGAGTTATTGAATTAGATATTCCATTCCAGTTCTACCTCATTTTAAAGACAAAGTATTCATTCGTTTTGAAACATGACTTTATTCTTTTGCTTCATTAAAATAGTTAATAAAACTAATTTTCTGTGAATTTATTCTTTATTCCTTTTGGAAGGCATAAAATAAATACAATACACTTTGTCTAGGTAAACAAAGATAAACTAATTAGAAGATACCCTAATTAAGAATAATGAAGAACTTAATATTATTTTTAACTTCTTAATTTATTATTCTATTTAACTTTCACCAAATAGCTTCCTGTTATACTGACGTGGTATCGATACGTTTGTTTACGGCGATGTAACGACTCTGGAACCTACATGGAATGTCCTGAAAGTAATGTCAGTAAGTCGATTAAAAATCATTTATTGAACTGCTCGCTACAAATGATTAAAAATCTTCAAAATAGGCTCCTTCTGCGTCAATACATCGACTCCAGCGAATCTTCTAGCTCTCGAATGCATTGCTGTAGGTCTCCTCCGGAATTTCCTTCAATGTCGCCGTACAAGTGTAACAAGCCTGAGACCTAAGTTCAGTTTATTACAAGCGCTAAAAGGTAAAGAGCGGCTTTTACCCATAAACGACTCGATTTTACAAATAAAGATTGTGGGATTCGTGTGGTGTGCGGTTAAGGAGTGAAATCCACAGGTCAAAATCTTTCAACAATTAGATTTATTCAATAAAACGATAAGAAAATGAAACTAACAATTAACAATAACAACAAATAAAGAAATATATATATAAATTATAAATGATTGATTAGTATAAAGAACTAAATAGATCTTGAAATAATATAGAAATTGATAAATTAAACAATATGTAATAGATAATTATGAATTTAATGATATGAGACTCGCTGGTCAGTACTTTATATTGGACCGTATCTAATTTAACTTCGCATTTGTAATATTAACTAAATTTGATATTCCTTATATATATTCGATTTTCGTGTTCGAAGTTATCGCAGTGACAAGACTTTACTTGATTAACACGCTTGTAATTTATAATGAATCCTACCTAAGTATGATTCGGTTTCTAACTAATATAAATGAAATTTTACAAAATTAGTAATGTTAGCGCTTTTATAGTCTACCGCCGCGAGGAATTCGACCTAAGTGAGATTCTCTAAACGTATTAGGATACGTTTTCGCAAAATTAGACAGATTTATCTAGTATCTAACGCGGTGTAGTCGACTACGGAAATGTACGCTAAAGACAGAACAATATTCTTTTACTAATTCAACTTTCAAAATTTATCTAAAGTTAATAAGTTTCCTTGGAACAATTACTCTTGTTTAATTTGACTCGACAACTAATTGTC